TCGTCCCTTTCGGCCCCATTTTTGCTCCCTTGACTTTACTCACCTACGTACTGTCAAGACAAAGCCGCAAACGACGATATAAAGGACAGCCAGAAATAGGCTGTATTAAACGAATGATGCGAGTGATTTTTCGTGACGTTTAGCATATTCTACAAACGAAACCTACGCGAAGAGAAGTAAGAAGGGCCGTTATTTTGACGAATAGAAATCTCAGGTACACGTGTAACTTCGATCCTCGAAACTTATCTGATAACTCCACTCTGCGAAAATTTAAGCAAACATACCGTACATTTGTACGAAAGATGTACGAAATCTCATCGATTTAGATATTATATTTTCGAACGTAGAAGTTAGAAGAGGTTAGAGAACAAGCTTTATTTCAATTAGAATAATTTTTACATTTTTGTACAAAGATGTAAAATATTATAGAAATTTAATCGAATTTCGCTCCTTCTCGCTCGCGAGGACAAATGCAAAAGGAGCTGGAAAGGCACGTGCCTAATCAAATAGCAGAAACTTCGTGGTCGGATATTTACCCTGTATTCCAGTCGATCTGGTTTCTCAGGCCCCTTAATGTAGAGAGAAAGCCACCCTCTTTGCAGGAGGTCAGATCTATGTGAATGGTAGCTTACGAAGCTTATTTTTTAATTTCTGTTCAATATGTTGCCACGCCGCTCGAGTGTTTGCCCAACGTTTTAAAGTTATTTCAAGACAACTCGTCGCCAACACGTCACACCCGCCGGGGTTTCAGCTGCAATTGTCTTTTCTATTGGAACAGGGGAAGCGAAATCACGGTCGCGTGATGGTCGATCCTGTGAGAGCGCTCGATCCTTTCGTCTCTTTTATCGCTTGAACAAACACGATCTGCGTCGTGAGTTTTATTTTTTAAAATACAATACATTGCTGCGAGACTTGCTCGCAATTTCACTATACCTCGATTAACAAGCAAACCAAACTCGTCCGCGGAAATTTTCCATGAAAAGTTTTCGTGTCAGCGACGAAGCAATCATCCCTTTACACACCCCGACGCATTTCCGTTCTATTCCTGTAAATCGCCTAAAACACACACACAGAAGAAGAAAAACGGTTAGCTATCGCTATTGCTTCCTCTGCAGGCCGAGGCTTTCCTGTTTCTTCGTTCTGTCGCGGACGAAAGGAAGAGAGAGCCGGATTAAAAAAAATGACGCGGCGAGAGAGAAGAAAACAGAAAAAAGGAGAAAAAAGAGGAAGGAAGGAAGCAGCCTCTAAACGACGGTGGAAGGTCAAGCCCGAGATTACGAAAGGCTCGTGCGACGTTTGCTCGTTAATTAGGGAGTTCTAATTATAGTAAATGCGTGAGCAGAGGCAAGGTACGCGGAGATCGTGCCACGGCAGAAGCTCCGGGGATCAAAATGCAACCCTCCGCGAACGAGCCAAGATTACCTTCAAGGGTCCTCGCCGCCCCCTTCGCTAAGGCCAGGCCCAACCTGCAACGACGATGAGTCCTCTCCCACTCTCTCTCTCTCTCTCTCTCTCTCTCTCTTCATTTTTCTCTTCCCGTCTCTTCCTATCTTTCTTTAGAGCTATTCCGCTCCCTAGTGCTCTGGGCCATTCTCTCAGATATCACCTAAAATAACACCAGTCTGGATACCACTCGCCGGGATAGATTTTACTGCTCGCTCTATAACAAATGGATTAGTATTTCGGTAGACGTTTCCGCTAATCCCCCTTTCAAGTCATCAAGCTTCAAGATTATATTCGACTCGATTCACGTCGAACTCGATTGGTCGAACATCAGCCAGAAAAATAATCCACTTTGCGTTGTAAATTACAGAGTTACGTTAATTTTTATTTCCACATCAGAAAGTAAACCACTGTCAAGGCGACGAGACATAGCAGCAATTTCAATACCTCTGCCTCTAAGAACGTATAAATTCGCGAGAGATAACTAACTTGTTGAATTGATTTATTTGTAATTCGCAATTCCGATTATTCAGACGCCGGATCCGATCCGGATAAGGGACAGACGCGAGGCGTAAATCAAATCGGGACACGTATTTTCGTTGCCAGAGGCTAAACCAAGCAGCACGCTTAAGTAAACCTAAGCAAACACCATCTAAAACACGGGTTTCAGACGGGTAATCTCCATTATGCCCGCGGCACGTTTACTCGCGTCACGAAGAATTCTTCTCTAATTGTAGGAAAAACACGTCTGTGTACAGATTAGAATTAGGTATACACAAACAGTGTGGAATATATATCGTTCCGCGGGAGATTGGTCATTTGCAGGAAATTTTCAACACTCTGCTTTATCCATCGGGCCGCCACACGGTGAACAAATATATATTTTGCATCCGTACGAGTGGAAAATGTGACAGTACGGACCCGAATGCTGCTTGTTGGGGCGCATTCCCCCCGACCCCCTTCGTGCGAAGATTCTGCAACGTCGTCACGTGGGAATTCGGACACGCGTTTCTGTTCCCCGTCGACCGACCCTTTCGTACCCCTACGTTGTAACTCAGACTGTCGCTGTTAGCTCTTTTCTTTTTTCTTTTTTTTTTTTTTTTTGCTCTATGCTTGACGTTCGTAAGACATCGCAACGTTGAGAATGAGCACTCTTTTTACACCACACCTGAAGAACAGAAGAAGAAGACTTCGAAGTAACGATTATTAGGTTGTACAAATTGATTTTCTCA